AATATAAAAACATTATTTTTCAAAATAAATAAATTGTGTAACAGTATGAGAGATTAACTGTTGAATGATTGTTTTACAACCTAAAATTATAATCTACTCAATTTCGTTGCTTAAAATTATATTAGAATAATTTTATGAAATTTTATAATACTAAAGCTCAATCCATTTGTTTTCAAGTCGAGTGGGATATCATTTGAGCAACATGATTTAATTTTGATCGTATGATTATTTATAAATTAATTAAGAATATCCCGAGAATCATGATATGCCTAGCCGACTTTGTTATGGAGTCATCAGATGGCTCGGATTATGGAGTCATCTGATGGCTCGGATTATGGAGTCACCATAGTTATCCACAAATGGTGTATTGACACGTGTCCTGCAATACAAAGTTATGGGTGGCTTCATAACCGAGCAATCCGATGGTTCCATAGAATTTCTGTATGCCTATATACACTGAAAGTTAATTAATTTTTACTAAAAAATTATATCGATATATTATCATTATCTATCTATCTATTAGTTTGTATTCTTATAAGAAAACAGTTTTTTTCTTAACAAAATAATGTACGAAATAAAAAATTTATATATTTGAGTATAATATTAATGAGGAAATTGTAATTATATATTATATATATTATAATAAAGATATATAATTAATTGATATATAATAAGACATATGAACCAAAAATCTCTATACTTAAGTTTATGTATTTTTAAGAAATCTAAAAGTTAATATGATTAAGTTGTAACACTTACTTATAAATAACTATAAAGTAAAAAAAATTAAATATGATAAATAATATTAAAATTATAATTAAGTTGTAACACTTATTTATATATACGGAAAAAATGTAATAAATAGAAAGTTATAATTAATAAAGTTAAATATAAAACTTTTAAGCTTGTATTTAACGATGTAAACGAGTCAAACTGTCCAACACTTTTTAATCTTTTGTTCTTATTACATGATTAAAATTATGAAAAATGTTCCAACAATTTTTAATAGATCATTATCCTATATATTTTGGGATGGAGGCATGTGTCGAGCCTATTAAATAAACATAGGATCTGTCATTGATTCCAACAAAATATTTTTGTCAGAACTTTTCATTGGAAAGTTCTAGCGGGAGTAATAACATCGAAATATTTGTTAGATTGTCGTTGAAATTCTACTGTAATACATTTTCGTTGAATTTTTCATTGAAATTTCATCAATTTTTTTGTAGCAAAAGTAATACTCCAAATCAATTAAAAAATTTGAATTATATATAATATTGTGTGCAACGTTATTATGAAAGTTGTTAAAAATATAACACATTTAATGTAATTATCATTTAATTTATGATAATTAATATTTTTTTCAAAACATACAAGATACATCTAGGTGGAAAAATCTTTAATTACTTTATTAGTATTATATTAACTAAACGAAGGGTAAGAATGATATTCTATGTAATAAAACGGTAAGACTACACATTAAGAAAGTTTAAAATTTGTAGGTCTCATTCAATCCAAAAGTCAAAATAGTGATAAAATTAGTTAATGTCCTATATTATTTAGAACTGACTAATGAGAAATATAAAAGATACTTAAGATACACATTTATTTTAACTAGAACTTTTAAATACATAAATATATATATTTTTGGCAATAAAAATAGGTATATTAGTCTTAATTTTTTTAGTTACAAATTTGGTTACTTTATACCATATTTTTCTGTTTTGAAATACTTAATATTTTTTTTATTTGTTACCCTTTTTATACATATACATTACATCATTTTTCTCGATGATGTTTAATTTGACAAATGTATTGTAAAAATAAAATAAAAATAGTATACTTATTTCTACCGATAAAAAATAACACACACACACGCGC